TACATATACTCAGGTTTGACTGAAAATTAATGCATGTTCGCTATTGGTAAATGTGCTGTAACGTTTCACTGTAATATGGAACGTGTTCTGCGACAACCATCGCATTAACGAAAGATAACGCACACTATGAGGCATCAAAGGGGATCCTTTGTTTCAGCCGGTAAAACAATGTCTCTCGATCATACCTGCAATGGAACAGAGCAAGGAGAATGCGTTCTATAGAGAGCATATAAAAAAAAAACATGCATGTTTCGCGAATACAGCCACATCACTTATTGTGCGTGGTCACCTGGATTCGCGCGGCCTTTTATACACTGCCAACCCGTCTTCCCGGCATATAAAGGGGGAAAAAAGACATAAAAGCATATATAGTGTGATATTTTTTCTTGCGTTACTGCTCGAAGTGAAAAACCACCGCGGCATTGCAAATGTCGTTTTTACTGCGGCATTCGAGATTTCTACAAAGTACTTCCGTCCAGCTGTGTTGGTTGGAGTGCATTAGTGGTCCCTGTTCATTGCGCGCTCGGATGGATTCTGCATGAAAGGCCGAAGGTCGTGCGCGACTGTGATGTCGTTAACAGCGCGTGCTGGGGGGCGGGGAATGGCTCAAGGCTGTGACGCAAAGTGCGCACGCATGTGTGTATACGCTAAGGTTACGCCTCGCGTTTCGGTGAGCAAAGGCCAAGGTTTATTCAAACTTTTTTTTTTATTCTAATGGGGCACCAATGTGGGTTGCAACAGTCTATAGATTCATACTGGTCAAGCATTCTTTCCACATTTGCATCCAGTCGGCAGGCAGGGACGGCGCCAGCAGCAGACGCGATAGAGGCCAGACAGTAAGCATGAATGCTGTACACTGATGCTTAATAGCATCTTCGCGGGCGCTCGGTGGTAATTCGTGCTATTTGTGAGCAAAGTACGGCATCGTATGATATTCGTATGCACTACACGGGGATGGGTTATCAAATAGAAAGCGCAGCATAGGGACGCGGGTCGTACGTATTTTCGTAAGCGGTGTCCTGCCACAGAACGCACTTGTAGGGATGAATTACGCGTGGTTAATTGCTTGTTATCGATGATATATCTTGGTAGTTCAGTTCCTTTATTATTCTTTTTTTTTCTTGCTTAATAACGTTCAAATAACTATGACCAAACCTGGGGCTTTCCTCTCGCGAAAGCGCGGCGAACGACCAGCGCAGCGTGTGATCGAGTTCCCAGTTAAGCGCGGCAGATGGCGCCAAAATCCGGCCGGCTGGCCGGCTACTTGGTCGAGCGATGGCGCGTGTACCGCAAGGTGGTTTCACTGCTTGGTTTTATCGTCGTGTGGCGAAACTTGAGAGCTGATGCGCATGCGGCTGGTTAATAGGTAGACAGCACAAATTTGCCGTTTAACCTCGAGCAAGCGTATCTATCCATTTCGCCGTTCATGGTTATTTCAAGTGCATGTGTGCGTGTGTGTGTGTGTGAGAGAGAGAAAGACAATCGAAATGAAGGAAAGGAAAGAGGGTAATCATTTATTAAAAGAAAAGAGAACCATGGGCATTCAGGTCACATTAATGAAGTTAAGAAGTTAAATCCATTCGATGCTTTCCGAAGATAATCGTTTCATTGAGACCGGGGTGTTAACTTTATCTTAGAGGTACGCTAAATTATTACTATAATTCGCTCTGTCATGAACTCAGCGTAGGCCACTAGGCTCCTATACCTAGTTGTCCTGGATAGTGACGACATCGAAAGAGCATTTGCTCGGGCCCGTCGTTATCTTTACGTGACCGATGTGCCTCACTTTTAGGTCTATTGAGAGCACACTCATTTTCTGCCGTGGTGGTAATTTTTTTTTTTTTTACCGAAGAACGTTCACGTCAACGGAGACACCATGCCGAGTGATAATGAAATACTGTATATATGTATGCTGCGTGTCACGTTGTGCACCCAATCACCGCTTGTAGACTAACCTCAAGACGTTCTTCATCAATCAACGAACCAATGCCTCCGTTTGCCCCTAGTTAGCTTTCCTATATTTGATTCTCGCCACATCCTCCGCCACGTTCATGCGTCATCGACTGCACGCGTCCATTAACGTGTTTTCCCTTAGCTAAAAAGCTTTAGTCGCGAACTTGGCGTTGTTGCCTGTTCCGCCTTCTGAATACCCGCGCGTTCATTCCTTCTATCCTCCATCACTTCCAGGATCGATATTTTGGGCCGCCCTGGAAACCACTTAGCATCCGTGCCAGCCGAAGAAAGGAGGAAGCGCCACCGAGAACATCGCAGCTCGCTGAACTGACTGTCATGGCGCGTATAGGCTTCGAAATTAATGCGCTTCTCTCCCGCTGGTCTGCGCGCATCGGTGTATGAACCAAACGCCACTATACCGTCGCTTCAACCACCAACCACTGACCACCACACCCAAAAACAAACCTGTTGCACCGGGGCAAGTTTCTTCTATTCGTGTCGTAATGAGCTCCCACCGCGCATTAGGAGGAGCATGTTGTAGAGGGCGCTCGATCCCGCTATGAAGACCTGCGTTACCCTGGTGGTGAATGAATGAACTAACGCTTGTTTGCGCTTGCACTTCCGTCGTTGAGAGGGCAAATAGAAATGATTTTTTCCTCTTTTCTTCTATCGGATGTACACGGAAGACGTGTGCCTTCCCCCACCCACCCCTCTAGCGTACCATTAGAAAGCTCCTTAATTACTTACCATTCGCTTGCGGTGATAAATTGATCTCGAACACGAGCAGCTTCTGTTACGTGCACGTGGTGGGTTCTGGTCGTTTTACGTATACGTTGTACACGCCAATCACGCGAAGTTGGAGAAAGAAACAGCATTGCCGATCGCAGATATAGCGAAGCTTCCGGGCTGCATCCCGAACACCTACCGCGACGTTGCATTGAATCAAGAGATGAGACTCGCTGGTATAGATCGTGAGAACCACAATGGACCGAGGGATATCGGTCTGGCCGCATTCGCTAACGATACGCGTGGCTGTTGTTACATTTAAGATAGGCTGTCGCCTTTTTATTTCAAACCGCTCCCTTGAATCCGGGACCCACGTGGTTGAAGTAAGCTGGAAAATACGTGCATTCTTCGTTTTCATAGCCATAAAGTACTCGTAACGATGATATGGCAAAGCTGAGATGCCACATCTTCAGACCGTCTCTTAACCTTGGCGTGAAGCACATAGCAGAAGATGCACCTTAGTCCCCCTTCCTCAACTCCGCAACCGTTTTTGCACAAAGCGTTTAAGTCTGCGTCGGTCGCTAAGCGCAGTTATGCTGATGGTTTGGTCTTAAAGAATTATTTCTTCTTTTTTTTCTCAAGTGTTTTTTTATCATAGAGATTCAAAGCATGATAGAATGCTGACTTGTGAATTCTGTTTGCTGATAATGAGTGCACATAATTATGTGCCCAACCGAGACTGCGGACATCGTATTGTGATTGTTTCGATGCCAGTTTCTTTCATGATTTCACCTAGCTCTTCGGCATATTCATTGTAGCAGATAGAATCTCCACTCTATAGAGTCATCAGAATTGCGGAAAATAATATCCTCCTGTGCTCACTATCGCATGGAGTGCGAAGGTAACGGTAAGAGAACGAAACAGAAGCGGATCGTCCCATGATTAGTGAGTTAACTTTAAGCGTAAATCATGCAGCGTGCAATATTTAGCTGACGACAATGAGCGCACGGCTTCGGTGGCACTGAGTCATGTGGCGAACGAGGATGACACAGAAGCGCTAAACTGCTTATCGGTCTAGTTCTCAGTCTCGTCATGCATGTTCGTAGACGAAACTCCGCATATCCTGCGATATTCGTCTTGCTCTTTTCTACTCTATTCCTTTCTGATTATTCACCACTTGCGACCGGCCAAATTTTCTGATGAGTGAGTGAACGAACGAACGAACGAACGAAGGAACGAACGAACTAGTCCTGACGCAGCATAACAGTCATTTGGGCTAGTAGGCATAGGTTCATCTTAAATGCAAATATGGAACGAACTTTTCCCCCCTTCTTTTTCTTTCGTTTTGATGCATGTGCCTTCACAATAATTGGTCTCGTGTGGAAAGTCGTTCTGAGTTTAGACGAGAGAAGCCTTACCACATGCTTCATGCGTAAACGTTAGGCGTGTTGCTTCTTCAGTAAACTTTCAGTTGCGAGTGTTCGTCTGCGTCGTCGTTCTCTCCTTTTGTCTGTGTTTTGTAGTGCGCCCTGTGTTTGCCCTTATAAGGTAGACTTAACGCACTTCACTATCCTACACCTGTGGGGAGTAAAGAAAGAGCAAAGGCACTAGTCCTGGTTATCCAGAAGCGTTGTCCAGCCTTTTTACAGCTGGATACAATTCAGTTGCAACTTAACATTGTACACGAGTGCGTATGACTTTCTGTCCTTATGGCATGCGAGGACCAGGCTGTGAAGATGCTCTCTCGAGTAGATAAGAAGTGCATGTATGTTTAGTGTTATTCATCCCGCAGCACCATATTATCGAAGTCTGAAAATGGGTGTAATTAAGACAGAGCAACTACGGCCGCACACCGGTCCAACATGATCAGTCCGTGGAATAGTGTAAGAAAAAAAAAGCTAGTCATGTCAGGCACTCGTTGCCACTCATACGCGAAAGGAGAAGCGAAGATATTTGAAAATGCTGTTGTATGCGATGGCCTTTTCGAACTCCGCGTCCGGCGCGGACTCGCAAAGGAAAACGTCGCATTCCATCGCGTGTCCTGGACGGGGAGGACACATGCGCGTCCTTTGACGCGGTCGGTGGTGGTGGGCGTGCGGCGTCCCAGGCCGGTGATGCCCGTGCACTGCCTACACTACCACCTGCATACATACTACACTTCTTGCCTTCTGGCTGCCGCCGCCGCCGTTACGTCACGCGCGCAGGGGAACCGGTTTCACCCCCCTCCTTCCCCCCCACACGCTACGCGCACTCCCCCTTGCCGGCAGGGAAAGCGGTCTGTTCGCTCCCAGCCTGCTCGACCGAAGAGGCCAAGGAGTCCGTCGAAGGAGTCGCTCCACAAACAGTCGGTGCGCTCTCGCCGCCGCTGCAAGAGCCATGGCACGCAGGCCAACGCAGCAGCCGTTGCTCTGGCGCTGCTGAACAACACCGTGCCGGCTGCTCAGTCCTTCTTCCTGGACCGCTGCGTGGCCCGGTGCCGCGCCGTGTTCTGTGCCCGCTGGCGGACCGTTCGACCGGCGGATTTGTATCGCACTGCTCCGTCCACCGCTGCTACCAAGGGTGTTTCCTTGTTAACCGTTTGCCCGAGTCTCGTGCGCGGGAAACTGGACCGTTTCTTCTGCTCCGTTTCGGCTTCGAGCCTGCCTGCGGCCCTGCGACCGGCTACCCCGTCTAGAGTCTTCTGTGGCCCACCGCCTGGTGGTTCGTTGGTTGTTTCCCACAGTTGAACCCGTGCTCTTCTTCCTGTCAGGGGTTCGCGCGGGCGCGGACTCGCTGAGGAAGTTTTTCACGGGAGGGGTGGGGTTTGACCCGAAGCTTCTTCGTCGTTCGCCAGCTTCCCCGGATTTTTGCCACGGGAGTTGTGCCTGCTGTTGCTTCCCGCGCCCCGGCGTAGCTGCTTCGTCGCCGTTGATTTCCAGGCCTGGGCTCGGCTTTGCGTGAGTACCATATACTACTTTCATTTTCTTATTCTTTCCTTTCTCCGATACTGTACACATTTATTGGCCTCCTATGCTCTCGACTGCGGTGGCTGCCGCCTGTTACACGCCTGAAGGAGCACGTCGGCCGTGCGGTGGCCGGGGGCCCGCCCTGTACCATAATCTAGGATATATGTTACACTCGCGGCGTTCCTTTGCCAGGAAGCCGCGTCTAACCGGACCGAGATTCCCGTCTCCGCAGTTGTAGTTCGTCCTTACTTTCGCAATCACTTTTTTTTCCCTGGTACTGTATAAGTTTTCAACAGCGCACGTCTGGTTGAGGCGAGCCCTTCGAACGTTTTCTCTGCGAACTAAATCGTGCGAATCGGGATTGTCGACTTACGTAAACTCTCCTTGCATCCTTCTTACCGAACGTTGATTAGCATGCACAATAATGATCGAATATTTCAAGTCCCACTGTGACTGAACGAGGGCGTCGCAGCTCTAAAGACGGCTCTTGAGAACAAGACGCTATTCGCGAAGCAGGACAACTGGTTAGGCAGCAAACATCTTTAATACAGATGCGCTGGTGCTTTGTGCGATTGCGTGACGGGTATGGCGTGACCGTATATAGGTTTTAATAGGCAAAGGTTGCCTTCCGCTCCGCTCACAGAGAACGTTTAGGGCGTGCTGTAGGCGACGGATGTGCCAGATGGTCCGTTCGGACCGCGCGAAGCAGCGTCAGCCCACGTTTTTTTTTCTTTCCTCCGTGAAAACCAGTGATAGTCGATGTTCCTCTTCGGCTCCACGTCCTCTGAGATTGCGAATGAATAAGCAAATAAGCGTCGATAGTCGAGACCGTTCGCTCTTCGAGTAGATTCCAATCTCTGCACTTGGCGATGTCCTTTCTCGCCCGTAGAAAGCGGTAAGGTGAAGCAATCGTCGGGGCTACAGAGCAACTTGTATAGTTTGCTCGTTGGAGAGAGAGCGCTTCTTGATTCTCTCGCTCGGGCTGCGATGTACGTACACGGCGAGACATTGGGGATCCAGCACTACCGGCTGCCTTGTTTAATGATGTGCATCGGACAGCCTGGCGCGCTGCGTGTTCGATGAAAAAAAAAAGTAGAAAACCTTTCGAGTGCATCTGGTCTGGTAGGCTACTTTGTATTCGCGGTGTAACGGTCGTTGCAAGGCGCAAGCTTGCGTTCGAGGTCGTAGAAAGAGGAGTAGGCTTGTTCGTGCTTTCCTCAAGTTAAGTATGATATTCGGCGGCCGGCGTGTATATGCAACAAAAAAAAAACATTATTTCAGTAGTTCTTGATTCCTCGGTTCACTCGTTGTTATAACGAGAGTTCCCGACGCTTTTGCTCAACCTTGATGCGGACATCCGCGAATAAAAAGAACGGATACGCCAGTTTCAGAGCTACACCCTTCCTTAGCGGCGCTTCCAAATTAAAAGCACGATTTCGATTCACAATGCTCTGGCAGTGCAGTCAACCGCAGATCGATTCGTCATTCCCCAGCATAACTAACCTTTACGCAGATCACCGCCATCCAGGATTTCATTTTTTTTTTGTTCTGTCAGAGGAAGGTGGTCCGGGCACCTTAAGCCTAAACGCCTCGTCGTGTCTGGACCAACTGACGCCCATATTTGCCTCGTTATGCTGGCGTCGACGAGTACGTGCCGGCTCCGCAGTGTTGAAACGCGTATACTTCCGAGACAAGGTGCGGGGGAGGCACACGTAAAATGCATACGTGCGAGTGGTTAAAGGACGTATATGCGGCATATAGTTTATGCAGGCCCGAACGGGTTACGCAGTCGTCGCCAGCGGTACACGTCAAGTGGATTCGCGTCGGCGTTTACCGCGGTCTCGTTTTCACTTGCCTTACGCAATGCGCGTTGTCGCGTTTCCAATTCTGGCAGTTGTAAAACCTTTGCCTGCCGCTCTCTCCACTCGTACACAAACGGCACAGGCAGGCAACTGTACCCTTCCCGCTGCTTGCGCCACCACTCTACTTTAGAGTATACAGTAGGCGTGAGGGAGGTGCATCCGGACCTTACATTGTATATGAACGAAAATCGTGGACATCCCACCGGTTGCGTTACCTATGGGCAGTGGCGTAGCCAGGGAATGGTACACCGCCCCCACCCTCCTCCATCCATAATAAGCTCCCCCATACCCCCCCCCCCTCCAAAAAAAAAAAAGAATTTCTACCTACGCCCCCGCTCTTAGATGGTGGGAATTCTCTCCTTGCGGTATACCTGCCCAGTAAGGACAAGGTGACGTCATCGAACTGCGCGAACATATATGTGCCCAAGTAAGGCCCTTGTATGGAAATATTCATGCGCCTCTTATTTTCAGTCCCGAAATTTTCGTTGATGCTGCGTGGAATTTTCGCACGACGTTGTTCGTTGGAACGTTCAATAGAACTTCGGTATCAGGGGTGTAGTCAATGTCTGTGCGTGAGGGAGGGGAGACATTCCCGATTTTTTTCCTTTAATTTTGCTTGCGTATACACGCAAGTGCGTATATATTTAATGTATATACAATTTATATGTTTGTTGTATATACAATTGTAAATACAATTTTTCCTGGTGAAGCCAAAAAAAAATTTCGTGGCCTCACCCTTGTTCGATAATAATCATATTATTATGGGCCGATCTAAAGGGTACAGCCATATCCATCCATCCATCCCAATATGCATCGCCGCCGTTGCTTCGTAGCAGCGCGGCTTGCACTGAGAGCACGCACGCGTGCATGTTGCAGGGTGTGGGTACGAGGCCAAGCAAAGGCTGGGACGGCCGCTTTTTGCTTCCTCGCGCTTTCTCCCCTCTCCCTTCGGGAGTCGAGACAATGGAAGCCCGGCCGTGCTCCGCCACGGCGGCGTAGGTGCCCCCGCCGCCGTTCCCGTTACTTCTCTGCCGACGTGCCGCAGAGTCCTTGCCTCCTCGCGAAGTTCACGCTCACTGCCTGGCTTTTCGTTTCGGCCACACGAGGCGTCGGTCGGTTCCAAAGCGCAGGCCTTCCTTTCTGGCGAACATGGGTTCCGCCGTCTATACCCTTCGAACCGCTCTGAGAAGTGGACGTATACGGTCGTCACCAGCTTGCCCAGTAGCACGTGAACTATAGCTGCGAAAGGGTGTATTTACGGCGGGTGTTATGCTTCAAGCGAGAGGGTGTTTTGGGCGAGGTATGTGTTCCCTTATAGGGTCTTATAAGCAGTGGTCGTGTTAAGCCTTTCGATTTCATTCCTGTTTTTCCCTCATTGCCATCTAGTTCGTCAACAGTCGAGAGAGAAAACTTTATTTGCGCATAACGCGGAGCATTCCAAATGGTCGGGCCCCCATTCCAGGGCTCCGCTGGCCCTAGCCATCATCTCTACCCGTTGGACCAGCCAGCGCTGATCAACAATGGCCGAACTGGACAGCAGTGCCTCCCAATGTTCCTCTTTGTTGTTCATGTTGTGGTGTTCTTCATTGTGATGCGTACATTTTACGCAGAATACAAACAAACACATACACGAACTTACACAGGCTGCATGTATTCTACCCCACAGCATACAGAGATATTTGTTCGTGGTGTGGGGCCACACCAACACTGTTTCGCATCACGTCCACAGTCGAGTACTGGGACAATATGCACACAACTATCTTGGTTTGTTGGTTCTTGTGCTTTCGCTGTGAACTTCTATCGTGGACTCCGAATGCCTTTTCACTTCATGTCCTCCACTCAGGTTACTGAACTCGGTCGGCAGTTTGTGAAGTTAAATTTACAAGGTAGTTTATAGTTTTTTCTTTTAATCTGCCAGTGCGAGGTACAAACCGTTATACCAACGCCAAAAAAAAAAAACAATAAGTGCTCACGAACGCGTAGAACTCTCAGGGGCACTCAACTGTTCGTTTTTCTTCCGGAGAGACCGCGCATGTTGGTTCGAGGAATCGTCGCGCATACATCTGAAATGCTTGCTAGATGATTGACGCACTTGACGCGTAAGAAGGCGCTTACTCAAGGAGGTTCCATTTTACATTAAAGACTGCCTTGTTGTAGGCAGCTCGCCTGACGTCTTTTTAAGCAGTGTTATTTTCGGGGCCATGTGGGTATACCCAGCGTTTTCCTGCGCGTTCCCTTTCTTCTTGTGCCCTTGCCTGAAACCGGCTGGAGCCCTTTACTTCTACATCACGTTTGTGTTTAAGCGAGGGAGAACGTGGGCACGTATACTGTTACGCAGAGAAGGGCGCTTAAGACTATATTTACAACGTGTTTACAGCATTCGAAGACAGGCGTACAAGATGGTGCCCAGTCTGCACGGGATACCACAGAGCATCTTCTTCTCCCCTATCGTGTTCATCTCTGGCGCCCCGAAGCAACATATTCGTTTATTGTTATCACCATTCAGCCCTGTCTGTAAAACTGCCGTGCATCATCGGCCCGCACAACCACCTGTGCACATCATTTTTGCCGGTTGTGACGTTCATACGGTTTCAAGTTCACAGTCAAAATCGGTTGCAAAATGTGACCGTGGTGTGACGTGTACGCCTAATTAATGAGAGGCCAGCGGCAGGTCGCTCACGCGTTGTATACCACCGGTGGCTCCCTATCTGTCGCCGAAATTTCTGCACCACGCGATCCCGCGCATTGCGTTATATTGGCCGGGCTTCGCGTGAATGAATTCGCCCTGGGCGTCCGTCCCAGATCTCGGCCTTCGCGTATCGACCGCTTGCGCGTATACACACCAGCGTGTGTCGCAACGGGCCACATAACTGCAGCCGACGGCGGCCGTTTAAGCAGCGTGTTTCTTGCTCGTCGAGTGAAGTCGACCGTTGTGACACTGATTCGACTTTTTCGCCTTCTTTCGCAATGTTGCGACGCGCTTTCTCTTTATAGAATTTACTCGGGACTTCGCGTGTGAGAGTGTATAGACGATATTATACGTAAGACGCATGGGTGTCACCTCCTTCTTTTTTCTTATTTGGTACATAGCGACATGGATTGATTGATTGATTTGTGGGGTTTAACGTCCCAAAACCACTATATGATTATGAGAGACGCCGCAGTGGAGGGCTCCGGAAATTTAGACCACCTGGGGTTCTTTAACGTGCACCCAAATCTGAGCACACGGGCCTACAACATTTCCGCCTCCATCGGAAATGCAGCCGCCGCAGCCGGGATTTGATCCCGCGACCTGCGGGTCAGCAGCCGAGTACCTTAGCCACTAGACCACCGTGGCGGGGCTGTATGCAACAGAATTACCGAACCGACTAAGTCCATTGA